AATCAACTAACAGGCAGTATTCCTAGCAGCCTTAGCTCTCTGACCAAAGTGGAAGTGGTGTAAGTATATCGCGGCTTCACTTACGCTCACAATTTATGTTATCTCTGAATTTCTTTGGCTGGATTGAATATTTTCTCTTGTATACAGGCGTTTTGACAAGAATCGATTAAGTGGGAGAGTGCCTAACAGTTTGAACAATCTCGAAACACTTAGCGAGATGTAAGAAAATCAAAGAAACGCAACTTGTTAAGCTTCATATTTATCACTAACTCTTTTCCTAAAGAATCAATTTTTCTTATTGAATATATTTTTGCAGCTATTTATCTCACAATGAACTGAATGGTTCTCTGCCGGATTTTACTGGAATGACTCGTCTCACCTACGTGTAAGTACTATAACACGGAGGTCACAATACTTAATCACAATCATATAATCTAAAAGAAATACTTGATTAATTTCATGCAAGAAATATATGTAAAACATAGGCATATAAATCATGCATTATGATACAAAGATTTTAATTTGTGTATTTTGATATAAAAACTGTTTGCAGGGATCTGAGTGACAATAATTTCAATTCTTCTGATATTCCTTCATGGGTTTATGCTTCTAGTATGCCAGATCTGACGTCAGTGTATGTTTCTCCATCCTTCTCGCTACTCTCTTTATTAGAGCTTATTTGAATTTACCTTAACATATATGTAGTTAATTAGTTTATATTTTAAACTTATTTCAATAAGCTTTTCATGAAAATCAGCATATGCATAGTTACTAAAATTTGTCTAACAGAATACTCAAGGACAACCGGCTCAGTGGCACATTAAATCTCAGCAGTGGCTACAGAAGAAGTCTGCAACTCATTGATTTGCAAAACAATGGTATTACCGAACTCGAGTTGGGAAACCAAAAGTTGAATTTCGACTTGAGGTAAGCTTCATTATACACATGATGTCATTTTTTGCATGGACTCGAACTACTTGACACTGGTTTTTGTTCTGAGAAATTTATCGAATGTTTTTGCAGACTAGCTCAAAACAAGATTTGTCTTGAAAATGGAGTTTCTAATGAGGTTTACTGCAAAGCTCCTCAAGTCATTCCCTCGTATTCAACACCAACAAATAATTGCCCAACTCCTTCATGCAGTAACAATCAAATTGCCAGCCCGAACTGTAAATGTGCATTTCCCTACATTGGAAATCTATCATCCAGAGCTTTTAGTTTCTCAAACTATAGTAACACGAGTTACTACACGGAAATTGAGCAGTCTTTGCTGGATACTTTTCGGAAACAAAACATTCCTGTGGATTCGGTTTCTCTTAGTAATCCTATCAAGGTTACATCTACTGATAACTTTCAGTTGACTCTTAATATGTTCCCTTCTCAAGCCGATCGTTTCAATGCCACTGGAGTTTCAACTGCTGCTTTTGTGCTTAGCAACCAAATTTACAAGCCTCCGGCATTTTTCTCCCCTTACATCTTCAATGGTCTTAGCTATTCATATTATGGAGGTGATTTTCCGAATTAACTACAAATTCTGAATTATTTGTCTATTCTGTCTTATTTCTCTCTAACTGTATCATTTTTATGTTACTTAGGAGAACCTAAGGGATCAAACTCATCAAATACAGGCGCAATAATTGGTGCCGTGGTTGGTATATTGGTCTTTCTTGTACTGGCGATCCTAATAGGGCTATACATTATTCGCAAAAAAAGAACAAGATCTTCCGAGTTGAACCCTTTTGGTAAGAATTGGATACTTCAAGCTTGGCCTAGTTTGTACTTAAGCAAGGAATTTTTCAGCTAGTGTTTTTTATTGATTCGATTATCATTTTAAATGCAGTAAACTGGGAACAAAACAAGAATAGTGGAGCTGCTCCTCAGTTGAAAGGAGCGCGATGGTTTTCATTCGATGAGATGAGGAAATTTACCAACAATTTCGCAGAAGCCAACACTATTGGATCTGGTGGCTATGGACAGGTTTATACTAATGACATCACATACCTTCACTTTTATTCAATCCTATGTCTTCTTTCATATCGAAAGAGTTTCATTGATTTCGTTTATGCCAGAAACATTCACTACAAGTATTTTTCCAAATTGTTCGCTTTTTGTTTACTGCATAATCTAATTAATCGTCCTCATATACAAGGTTTACCAAGGTGCTCTTCCCACTGGAGAATTGGTTGCAATCAAAAGGGCTGGAAAAGAATCTATGCAGGGTGCTGTTGAGTTTAAAACTGAGATTGAACTTCTATCAAGGGTCCATCATAAGAATCTTGTAAGTCTTGTTGGCTTTTGTTACGAGAAAGGCGAACAAATGCTCGTCTATGAGTACGTTCCAAATGGCACTTTAATGGACAGTCTTACAGGTACTTCAATTCCTTCAACAATCTGCATCTACCATATGGTATCATAGAATCATAATAGACTCAAATATGACCATTTTATTGTATATCACAGCACGATTGGTCTACGTATTAAAATATGAGTTGGATTTTGTCTCTGCAGGAAAATCTGGGATATGGATGGATTGGATAAGGAGGCTCAAAGTTACATTGGGTGCTGCCAGGGGTCTGACCTATCTACATGAACTTGCAGACCCACCAATCATACACAGAGACATAAAATCAAGCAATATCCTACTTGATAATCACCTCGTTGCTAAAGTGGCTGATTTCGGTCTCTCCAAGCTTCTTGTTGATAGTGATAGAGGCCATGTTACTACTCAAGTCAAAGGGACCATGGTTCGTATAATATGCTTTTCACTTTCATCTTTAAATAGCTTTTGTCAAGGAAAGTTTCTTTGAAAAATCTGAAATTGTAGCTAATGAAAACATGTTTCCTTTTATTCTATGAAGGGATACTTGGATCCTGAATACTACATGACCCAGCAATTGACTGAAAAGAGTGACGTATATAGCTTCGGAGTACTAATGCTGGAACTAGCAACATCAAGAAAGCCAATAGAGCAAGGAAAATATATTGTAAGAGAGGTAATGAGGGTAATGGATACATCAAAAGACTTATACAACCTTCATTCGGTTCTCGATCAAACTATACTCAAAGGGACAAGGCCAAAAGGTTTAGAGAGGTATGTGGAACTTGCATTGAGGTGTGTCAAAGAATATGCAGCTGATAGACCTTCAATGGCCGAGGTTGCAAAAGAGATCGAGAGCATAATCGAGCTTGTTGGAGTGAACCCAAATTCTGAATCAACTACAACAACAGAAACTTATGAGGAAGCAGCAGGTGCAGGGAATGGTAAGCATCCTTATGTGAATGATGATGAATTTGAATATAGTGGAATGTTTCCTACAATAAGGGTAGATCCTCAATGAGTTTTGGTATGTTTTCTTTTGTAAAGCTTTTTTCCTATTGAAGTGAAATCATTGAGGTCTAGGTGTGTCAATTTTGGATTGAATTCCATAGGTGGTGCTTTAGAAAAGTACATTCATAGCATGGAAAGTGTATATTCTTAACATCAACAACGGCTTCGCCTGAAGGGAAAGAAAGACTAGACTCCAGATTGTAATGTGTAATCTAGATATGAAAATATTCTTGTGATTTTTTTGATTGTATGTATTATATTTGAATTTGAAGATTGGATTTTCAAAAGAGAGCATGTCTATATAATTTTTCTTGTTTCTTCATAAACAACAACCCTTGGCTATTTGACCCAAGATACTTGAACCCTTGATATTAGAGGGCGAGGATTGTCTCCATTTATAAGTACATGTTCAAGTCATATATTATCCGATGTGAGACTCTTAACGTACCCCTTCACGCCCAGGACTGGACATCTGGAGCGTGAAAATAAATGGTGTGTGGCCCGATAGCGGATACCTGATAGTAGGTGGCCCACCAAATCTTAAACAAGGCTCTTGATACCATGATAAAGATGTGGTTAGACCTAACTCAATCCTACAAAATCAACTTGTAGGATGATGATTGCTCCCACTTATAAGAACATGTTCAGGCAATATATTATCCGATGTGAGACTTTTAACATTTAATACTCTGCAAGACAAGTTAGGAATGATTAACATCTTCTCTAACTTGAGGGGTATGTGAAATGTTGAAGCTGCGTTCAGAAAATACTCAGTAGTTGCGTTTAATAACAGATCGGAAGCTGAACACCATAGCTTAATGTAGTCTTGACGTATTGCATCGCACATAAGCTAAAGTTAGTTACAACTATTTTCTGTTTGTAGTTAGCTCATAATGTGTATACAACTAGATCTATCATTTTGTAATACTATTTGTCAGCAATTAAAGATCTTCATCTTCTTCTTTCTATGCTTGTTTACTCAATAATGGTGAATCACCATTAATTTTCACAAAAACCTCTTAGATTAAGGGTGTTCCAGTATCCGACACGCGATAGTGTCCTACATCCAAACGACACTCATATGACACACGATACGTGTTAGACAAGTGTTATAAAAAATTGTTTTTTATTTTACTTCGACACACCTTAGAAACTCTTTCGACACTTCTAAAAAGTTATGTGTTGGAGTGGTAATATCAATGAAGGAGTTAAATACATTAAATTTGATTATTGTTAGTGTAAGGAGGTAACTTACTCTTTAAGAAAGAGAGAAGAGATAAGAGAAAAAATTGATGAATTGAAATTGTAATTTTATTTAAATGATGGAGAGTATCATTCAATCACGCATAAACTATGTATTTATTGTTACAACAAAGTTAAGTCAATTATTTGTTGCATAAGCCAACTATCTACAAAGTTAGTTACTCATCTAACCAACTTCTAACTGATATTATATTATTTTTAGTTTTTTGTTACACTTGATGAATGCAAGAAAATGAATAATGATGATGTAATGTATTTGAGTAACTACAAAGTGTGTATATTATTTATATTCTGATGTCCTTGAAGAGCTATACACGTGTCTTATTTATTTGTAAAGGTTGTGATCGTAATTTGCAAATGATGTCACATAGAAAGCAAAGAATCGGTAACTTCCATTTCCATTTTCAGCATGAGCGAGAATAATCCCAAAACCCCTCTTCCACCGTCTTCAACCAAATATTCACGAAACAAAACCCACATCAACCCACCGGAAACAGCAATTCCAGATACCGCAACCCTAAGAGATCAATGGAAATTCGCCGTCAGACAGTACAGTAAATGGTACTCTCACGCTTGGGGAACCGCCATTCTTGCTGGAACTGCTTTCTTTGCCCTTGGTTGGTTCATCAAGGGTGAAAATCCCATACCCTCTTTCAACTCCAATAACAACAAACCTTCTTCATCTCATCAAGACAAGGATAAACCTCCCAAACCCCACTGATTTCAACCTTTCTTTTCGGTATGTTTCTTTCATTTTAAATTGGCTATTTTACTATTTTCATTGTGGTTATATGTGGTTTTAGACCGAGCTTCAATTGTCAGTTGTTGGGAGTTAGAAAAAGTAATAAAGTTTGCATTTTTTACTTTGCGGTCCTTAGGAATTTAAGGGTAATATCATATACGGTTGATGCGGCCACATCAAGAAGGCGTTGTTCCAAATCCAATTTCATTATCGCGGTCGTTCCAGCCGAATCACCCATCTGGGACGGAACGGCACAGCCTGATGTGGTTTTTATGATTTTCTTGTTCCGTGCCGAGATAACGGTGGCCGAGTTTAATAACATAGGTTGTAGTTCAATTATATAAGGTGGTTTACGAAAACTTTGTATGTAAAATAGGATAACTTCCTGCCATGGTGGGGTCTTGGGAATGGTTAATTCAGCTGTGAGTCTATTGTAAGGCTAACATTTAGATATTACTGTCTGTAATCTGATGATACTGCTGCAAGCACTGACCTATGGTTTCTGGATTGATGCATCAGTCACTATAACATTGTTGTATACAAATATACCCTTGAAGAATTGCATGCTTAGCTTATGCTTGGTTGGATTGCAAATTAAATGAGCTGGTAAAAAAGATTATGTTTTGGGACATACCATACACTTCCATTCTCTCGATTCTATTCCAATCTAGCATAGCCTCCAGCCTATTTTACTGAACTATACAATTGTAATTCCTTTTGCTGCATAAACTAAATTACTGTGCAGTATGCCATTTGCGTGCCCATGGCCTTCAAAAAATTTCTCAACTTTCTATGTTGGGGTTATTGCATACATGTAGTTTTTGGTGCTTTCCTTATCTTATCCTATAAGGAGTTAATCAATCTCCAAGTTTAGTGTTTTACGCACACAATTAGTTTGGTATTTAATATATGTTAACTGATTGAGTTTTGGAGTCACATTTTAAAATCTGGAAACTGGATTTAAATTTCTCTGCTGAGATCCTTTGCTACATATTGTTTGTTTTTCTGTTTTCTTGTGTTGATAGGAATCGGAACATTTCTTGGTATAAAAAGACTAAACACTATTCATTTGATTGATGATTCTAATTTGATATAAAAAGACTAAACACTAACCCTTATTTATGAAGCTCCAAAATCTAATTAAAAAGAGAAACAAATCATGAGATAAAATGATTGTCAAATTCAGGCAAGAAGCCTGAACTATAATGAATAAGCTTAGATTGATAAAATGATGATATCTGGTAAAGGAGAAATCGCCAGAAGAATTGGTTTTGCTATCATATTATTATGATAATGTTTTCATTAACTCACATCCTTTTTATTTATTCATATGATTAAACTGCAGACCCCATTCACTGGAATGAAGCCACATCAGAGCTGTCTTTTGTTGACAGTGCCCTGAAGCCTCACCTTGATTGCAATGCTCTATGGATGTTTATGAACTTCTTGTTTTGAGAAAACAAACAATGCTTTTATTTCCTGTTTTACAATATATAACTTTACATTCACTTTGTTTTATTGTACATAAAACTGCAATGATTACAGTAAGAGTTGTTTTCACAGTATTTTTATGAAAAATTTTGAAAACTGAAAATAAGTCCTATTGTTCATAATCGAGTTTATGCGACACCGCTGTTATCTTGTTTTTCTTATATATATATATATATATATATATATATATATATATATATATATATATATATATATATATATATATATATATATATATATATATATATATATATATATATATATATGCAACTTGCTTTTCTTGAGCCATAGTAATGATATTAGGTTTATTATTAAAATGGTTTGTAATACAATAAATTGGAATTTGACTGCTAATTTTTTTATGGGCAAAATATCAATAGTTATTTGTTAGAGAGAGAAGGATTTGCTAGCAGCAAGAGACTAGATATATCTTCAATGATAGAATGTTCACTGCAAATTTAAAGATTAGTCCTACAATGGTTTCTATAGCGGTATATTTGTATCAACATAGCAAAAATCATTGGCAGGCTCAACATAGCAAAAATCTCTTAAATTTGTGCACCTATCAAAAACTCAAAATTTAAAAATATATGTTGAGATTCTAAGATCTTGAATGAGTTTTTAGGTCTTTAAATTTTAGAATCCGAACATATTGTGAATCCACTAAATTTTAAGATTTTAAATGTTTAGATTTTACATTATTGTGAATCCACTAATTTTTAAGATTTTGCAGACTGCAAGCAAGAAAGCTTTTTTCTTCATAAAATACTTAACAAACAGCAATGTTCTTCTGTCTTTGGAGTTTTACTTTTAACCATAGTCAAAAGCAAAAAGGTCAAGTTACTACTTGCTTAGACAAGAGCAAACAAAAATAAAGAAGCCTTTGAACTAATTTAGATAACACTCTCAGTAAATACTTGTAAAACAAGAAAAATCGAAATTCTCTTGATCTCCACAGAAGTTGAAACCGACTTCTGGAACTCGGCTTTTTGAGAAACTACCTTATTTTTCTCAACCAAATACTATTTCGGCTAAAAATACTGATATCCTACAAAGTACAGACAAATCTAAATCGAGTCACGGTAAATATTCAATAAACCTGAAATTAGATAAATGAATAGCTTCAACAGAAAGATGAACCAAGAAAAATGAAAGTGCCTGTTTCCTGAACATCTAACTAATATTGAACAGATTTTGCTACAGACCAATGCCGAAAGTTAGCATCACTCCCTCAGAATATAAACATGGCATAGGTTTACAGTAAAGGAAAAATACAGAAACTTTACTGTAAAAGCTCAAGAAGAGCAACATCCAGATTTCTTCACAGCTGATACATCATCCCGAGATCCAACATCAATTGTCCGTCCTTTCGGTAACGCTGCTGGATCATCACCGATCTCAAGGGCTTTCTTGCTCACAACACGATAGATCTGTGTCAGCACTTCAGTAAAGGCATTTTCAACGTTCAAGGACTCGAGCGCAGACGTTTCCATGAAAAATGTGTGCTCTCTTTCCGCAAAAGCCGTTGAATCTTCAGTTGAAACCGCTCGCAGATGACGCAAGTCAGCTTTGTTACCAACAAGCATCACGACAATGTTGGTGTCTGTGTGGTCTCTCAGCTCCTTCAACCATCTCTCCACATTCTCAAATGTAACATGGCGTGTAACATCATAGACTAGTAAAGCACCAACGGCGCCTCTATAGTATGCACTTGTAATTGCTCGATACCTTTATAGGAATTCCATAATCAACAAGAAATTAACGCATAAATGTTAGGATCTAGAATAAATCTATCTGCATTGAGGTCCAATATCAATATTAAACATAATCAGAGGTGTTAGTGTCCCATAGAGATAATGCATCTTCTAAGCTATCCCAATCAAATCATAGAAATTCATACATTTATCTACATGCATTGAGGTCCAATATCAATTAAACGTAGTCACAAGTATCCGACACAGACACAATTTTTTTCAAAGGTGTCGGTACTAAAGAGATAATGCATCTTCTAAGCTATCACAAACAAATCATAGATATTCATACATTTATCTATCGGCATTGAGGTCCAATATCAATATTAAACATAATCACAATGTCAGACATAGACATTAACTTTTTTCAGAAGTGTCGTGCTGCAGAGATAATGCATCTTCTAAGCTATCTTAATCAAATCATAGAAATTCATTCATTTAAATATATGCATTGAGGTCCAATATCAATATTAAACGTAATTACAATTGTGTGACACATACACTTTTCAGAGGTGTCAGTGTTAAAAGAGATATTGCATTTGGTAAGCTATTACGATAAAATCATAGAAATTCATACATTTATCAAAAGAAGAATGTTGTTAACCTTTCTTGACCAGCAGTATCCCAAATCTGAGCCTTGATGACCTTATCATCAACCTTAATGCTTCTGGTTGCAAACTCGACACCAATGGTAGATTTAGATTCAAGGCTAAATTCATTTTTGGTGAATCTAGACAAAAGGTTGGATTTACCAACACCAGAATCACCAATCAGAACAACCTTGAACAGATAATCGTAATCATCATCAGCTCTATACGCCCCCATTTGCCACGCACCCTTCTTTTCTCAATGGTGTTTGGCCAGAGAGAATGAATCAAAGATTAACAAAAAGAATTTTTTTTTTTTTTTTTATCTTTGAGACTCAAAGGTTGCTGTGATTTGAATCTAATAATAATAATAATAATAATAATAATCAGATAAACATAAAAATTTGTTTTTGAAAACCAGATTTGGAATAACGTTAAAAGAGAAAAGGAAAAACAGAGCGTGAAGGTAATAATTGAATGAAACAGCAATGTGTGTTATGCGGAAGGTTTTCTGTTGACAATTTTTGTTTTTGGTTTTGGGAATTGTCGCAAGGGTAACCTAATTGCCAAACAAATTATTACTAGTAATTCACCGATTATTCATTTTAATCCTTTAAACATTAATCATTAATCATTATAGATTATGATTAAATTGCCTAAAATTAAGGGTCGCAAATCGGTTCGTGGTCCGTCGGACTGACCCGGACATCCGAAAAAATGGTGGGTTAAATTGTGCATCTTTGTAGTGTAATCTCTGTACATCAATGAAAATATTTTATTATGCAATTATTTTCCGAAAAATATTTGACTGTTTGGAGTTGTGCAATGTGTTTACTTATTACATTAAGTATAATTAGTATATTTTTATGTTTTGGCACTACGATGAGTAACATGTAATTTGATTTGCAGCATAACTAAAAGTCATTTACCTTGAAAACAATGGTGGAAGGTCAAGTGCTCTTATATTAATTATGTTGTCTTTTAATTCATTTTTCTTCCCTTTTTAAATGCATGTCAGTTCGAATTGGCTAGAACTCAACTAATACTCGGGAAACTAACATTCCATACTCGCTGTTAATTTTTAATGACAAGATAAAATTGAACTCAGTTTTTTTTCGTGAGTCAACATCTTTGTCTAATTGAGTGGTGCTTTTGTTTTGTGGAAGCTTGTGATAAGTGCCCAAAATATGATGATTAAACACATTTCAAATGGACATCTATTAACTTGTTTTACAAGTTTCTAGCATTAAAGCCCCATATGTGAATAAAATTGACTTAGATTATGGTATTAAGAAATTATACTTAGTTTTCTCTTGATATGTTTTAGTCGTGCAGGATGGATAATGATTAAAGGTTGGACAAATATCAAAATGACGAAATGCCCTTCAAATTTTGCTAAGCAAACCTTAGCGATCTCGCTACAGAATTTTCGCTAAGCGAGCATTAGCAAACAGTCGACGAAGAGAAACTGAAAGTTGATAGAAGAAAAAATCAACATTTTCGTTAAGCGAGCCTTAGAGAAGTTCAAGCGAAGAGAAACAAAATATTGCAAGAATAAAAAATCACCAATTTTGCTTAGACATGAGGAAGCAAGAAGGCTCGCTTAGCGAGCCATATTTCGCTAAGCGAAATCAGATGGTTCAGCAAGGGCAGTTTAAGAATTCTTTAAGGAGAAGTAAAATTATTTCGCTAAGCGGGGCATCAGTTCGCTAAGCGGAGACAATATAACTCAAACTCTATAAATAGAAGCAGAAATAGGAAGAAGGGAGATCATCTTGTTTTTAAGCATTGTAATAGCACAAAATAGAAAGTAAGAGAGGAAGATTGAAGGGTACGAGTTGGATACGCATCAATTGTCGGAAAATCACTGTTGATGCTCATTCATCTCAATTACTCCATTTTATGTCAAGCTACCATGAGGATGGATAGCTTATTCTTCTTTTTTGTTGGGATTGAATGTAATCCACGAGTCGTATGTATATTTATTTGATCATAATATTATATAATCCAATTATTTATGATTATCAAATGTTATCTTTGTTTTACCGATTAAATTCATGGATTAGAGATAAACATTATTGTGAGTGATACGTGAGGATAATAATGAATATCCAGGTTATATATAAAAGTGATCAATGAATACATACACATTCGATGGATGAAACCCAATCCCAGCAATTTTTCTTATCTGTGAAACTCTTATTATCAAATATAGTCTTATATTTCGTTACTTTTACAATAAAAAACAACTTCTGATTATGTACTTAAACCCTATTAATTATTGAACGATTGTTATATCGCATCAGTCCTTGTGGATACGATACAAACAATACTTACTTTTGATTACTGAACATCAAAATAGCGTCGTTATCGAGGACAACGTTTAGATATTACAAGCATCACAACAGTTTCTATCATTTTAAGCAATTTTGCACTTGTTAATATTGAATATACATATATTCTTTACCCTTCATGTTTCTTACTTGTGTCGACAAGGTTTTTAAAATTTATTTATGCGAGGTAGAACATCGAAAGAACCATTGATTTTTGATCCCGAGATTGAAAGGACAACAAGCAAAAATAACAACAAAACCAGAAAGGGGAAGTTACTAGCCTAGCAAAGAAGCCAACAAGAAGGAACTTCTACTTCAGTTTCTTCGGAATCTCCAAAACTAGAAATCATGGATGACCATGAAGAGAACAACAATAATCTCAGCAACAACAACAACCAAGCTGATCCAAAATCCGGTAGAATGCCATGTCATCATAGTCCACAAAGATTGACTCATATGGCGAGAAATCTAACAAATGCTCAGCAAACAGAGATGAAGACTGGGTTGCTTCAGATTATTTATGTGAATCCTTTCGACGGTGTTGATTATGAAGATCCCTACACTTACCTCACCAAATTTTATGAGTTAGTCGGTATGCTTGGAGCATCTGAAATAGAAGAGGAAGTCGTATTTATGAGACTCTTTCCACATTCTTTGATCAGGAAAGTAAAGGATTGGTATTTGGATCAACCGATTCAAAGTATGACCAACTGGAACATTTTTAAAGAAAAGTGATTTTAATTACAAATTCAATGCATAGAGCTCTTAAGTTGTTCCTTCTAATCACACACAATCTAAAATTCATAAGAAACTTTTCTAGAGCCTCTAACTACTCAGACCATGCTTGTATTATGCATTGAAACCATGTTTGTCAACCTTACTTCAAAAACAAGCCAAGAAGCCAAAACATGTGATCTTGTACTTCTGACCATCTCAAGTCTCCAAACCTTTTCCTATATATCAAAACACTATTATGCAACCTAGGGCACGAGCTTGAACACCCTGAAACACTCTCAAACTCCCTCAAATTAGAAATTGCCCAAAAATTCCAATGTTGCACAGTTTCTGACTTTGAACTTCAAACTTCCATTTCCCTCGTGCGTTCTTTGGTCTTTTACTTCCAAAAGCTTCTTAGCATCAAATACAAATCATCCATGTCCCTATTACACGACTGTAACTCCATTTCCATCATCCTCCATAATCAAAAACAGAGCATTGCAGTTGAACTTCTCCAAGCCATTTCAGCTACTCTCAACTCAAGCTAAGCATTGCATTAGCTTCTTAGAGACTAAAAGAAGCTAACCTGATCATTGCAGCACCTTGAATCAAGCTTAAACTCATTTCACGATTTCCAATTTTGAGGTATTTTTCTTGAACTTTTATCTTCATATTTAGACATTGTTAGGCTTGCATTTGTGAAGATAAAATGTAGACATCATTGCCCTGAAAACTATACATATCCATAGATTTCATTTATGTTGCTTGAGTAGGGAGAATTTTGAGTTTGATCCTCTGAAAATATTTAGGTCAGAATTTGGTATTGTTGAAATTCATGCTCATCTTTGAGAATTACCTTAAGTTATTTACATACTCAGAATCGTGAGGAAATTTCTAAAAAGTTTGATGTTGGAAGTTTTGTGAATGGATGAGAAATGAATGAGTTACAGGTTCTTTGGCTGGAGGTTGAAGATGAAGTTCATTCAGGGCAAAACTTATGTTACATATTTATTGTTTTGTTTAAGTTAATGGATGTATCACCACACCAGTGGTTAAAGCGCACGTTTGTCACCTATGGGACCTGGGTTCGAGCCCTAGTGGTACCCTTTTGGTTCTTTTTCATATATTTTTCATTTTTTGTTTGAAAACAAGCGTTGGGCTTCCCTCCCTCTGGGCTTTTGTTTTTGCTGACTTCTAACCCCTCCTCACTTTTATACCCCTGACCCATTTTTCTTTATTATTTCATTTTTCTTGTTTTCATTTCATTATATTTTTATTTTCTTTAATATCTTTATTATTATTATTATTATTATTATTATTATTATTAATTTTATTAATAAAAAAATCCAAAAATTATTATTATTATTATTTTTACACTTATTTATTTTTATTTGTAAAAAAACAAAAATACTAAAAATATTTTCTTAATAAATTTAACTTTTTTTTAATAATTAATATTTAGATAATTAGGTTTAATTATTATATTATTTTATCTTCTTAATTAAAATTAACTTAGAACTTAGCTTTCTTTTAATTAATTTTCATTTTATTTTTATTAACTTAAAACCTTCCATACAAAAATCATAAAAATCCACTTTTGACTTAATTTCTTTCTTAATTAACTTAAATTTAATTTTGTTTATTTTAACTAATCATTTTCTTTAATTAGGTTAAAACCCCTTTCATAAAAATCCAAACAAAAATCATGTTTCTTTTCCATTTGCATTTGTACATTATTATTTATTCAATTCTTGTACATTTATTCAATATGGTTGTAATAGTTAATTATATTTAATTTTATTGAAAAATCTCCATTTGTAAATTTGTACACCCCTCCCCTCATGATGTAATAGCTTAGTATTTTTACTTTCCGCAATTTATCGCTTTTATATAAATGCTAGTAAATTAGGGTTTGTATGGAAAGACTAAAATCAACAAGTTAGCAAACCCTAATTCAAGATAAAACATTGCATGTAAATCAACACATTTGCACACTAGCACCATTAGGATAATTCCACTTTATTGCCTTACAAAAATTGCCATGTTATGCATGTGGAATATCTTAGCAAAAAGCAATCAAAAATACAAGATCATAGTCCCTCGATGACGCTATCAAATGTTGTCTTTCAAGATGATCTTAGTCCCTCAAAGAGAATTGCTAAGATATTTCACAACATTGCTATCATGG